CATAATAGTGTGAGCATTGGGTAAATACCCGGGAATTTACCCTATAATATTTATTTTCCCTGGAAATATTCCCCATTTAGTTTTATATGTCAATTTCTTTTTATTTTTGAAGTCGTTTATTTATTTTTTTATCATTATTATCTTCAGCCAAATTAATTCACTTTTTCATAATGGAATAATATCTGATTTAACAATATCTCTCATTCTCATTTAATTTATTACTACAATTATTTTCTTCTAACAAGTGCATTAGGAAAATCATATTTATCTAATGTATTAGAAATATTTAGGGAAATAAAATAATTTACAACTTCACTCAAACAATATTGCAAATAACTTTGAAAACAATTCGCTTATATTAATATAAAGAAATTTTTTGCCGATTAGATTATTTGCAACAATACTTATAAATCCACCTTGTCTACCCATGAACTTCAACTGCCCTTATCCTAAGATATTAATTAAGCAATCGTTTAAATCTAAATTTAGACACAGTGATAGAAAATCAACCTAAATATAAGTGTTAAGGTTATTGGAAATACTTGCTATATGGGAAGGTATTACAATTATTTTTTCATTTATTTGGTAGAAAGGGGTTTTTACAAATTAAAGTCTGCATTTTATTCTTAATAAAACAATCAATAAAAATATACATATATCTTCTAGTAAATGTATTTCTGATTCTGGGATTTTTTAAATAATTTTATCTTTTAGGATGCTAGGGAGTGGGCATGATTAGGTAGAGTTTTTCCCCTAAATTTTATTGGAGATCTTTAGATGCCCTTATTGGCCTTTGTCTATATTCGATTTTTTATAAAAATAATTTTAGGTTTTACTTTTGTTTTATGAAATAATTTTTTCTAAAATATTTGAATTATAGTCGTTATTTTGATAAGTTATTAACTTGTAATAACTTGGTTACTCGCCTGTTCACTAGAATAAATTGTTTTTTTTTTAATAATCAAGGGAAGTTGACACCTCTCCTCCCCATATCGAAAATATGATTAGATTAAATAAATTAAATACTTATATACTGACATAATTTGCTTTCATTTCAGTTAAATTTATAAAACACCTCCCAAATTATATTTAAAAAATTTTTTTAAACAGGACGCTTCCCAAAGACGCCATATTTCGGAATAGACACCGGCGTTTAAACTCTTCGATTCCTAATTGTAAAAACATAGTTAGTACTAATATTTATATTTAATAAAACATCGATTGCAATAGTTTTCAATTTCAAAATCAATCCATCTTATTTATGTGTCAAATTGTTCAAAGATTTGACCACTTTTTATGCTACCATCACTAACATATAAAAGCCATAAAACTACATCCAGAAATATCGAGTTTCATATTTAAAAATCTGTTAAAAAGTTGATTTTTTTTAGTCATGAGAGTATTTTTTACATTAGATATTTAATTTCTTTTCCTAATTGCTTTGACTTCTATATTTTTTTATCTTGAATCTTGCTATCAATTTTAGAATTTTAGTATTGAACTAATAACTTTTTAATTTTAATTTTATGCTGTTTACAGGATGGATAGAAGATTAAATCAAATTGTCTTTTTTGTATGCAATGCCTAATAAATATTGAATAAATGGAAACACAATATTTATTCTTCCATATAGCACATACAAATGAAGGCAGGATATAAAATGTATTTTGATCCATAAATCACATGATAGATGATATTGGTGTTATGTAGTTATCCTCACCATATTATATTAAATCATGAATATATGTATATATATCTAATTGACGAATATAAAAATTCATAATGTATAAATAGTATATATTTCTACATTACTACAAAATCAAAATTGAGAAAGCGCTAAGACGTCTTTGTTAGGCCATAACTCAAGAGGATACCCACATAATATACTCCTTTGAGATTTCAATAAAGAGATATCCTCCCTAGATTTTCCATGGTGGCAAAACTCTTTAAGGGCATCATCAATAAAAATGCTGGGACTTCTCGCAAAGAGAGTCAAAATAAGTGAAAGCATCAGCAGCCACGTCAGTCACCCAAATAATTTGTGTGAGTCATTTCTACATTTAATTTGAGATTATCGAGATACCTTCACTCTTTATAATATGCATCTCCTCATTTATCTTAAGTGGACGAACACAATGAGACCATCATTTAATCAATTTTATAAAAACAGCTAAATAAAATGTTAGCCAAAAAATAGCTGAGTCTTGGATTTGGCCAAAAGAAGGTCAATAAGGATAAGTTGATTTCTGACATTCATAATCAAATAAAGGGCAAAATTCTGATTTACCCATCGTCAAATAAAGGATAAATATGTTATTCCCCGTCATTCTTGACTGGTTATCAACTGGTTGCAATATATTTATACATTACTGCACTTTCCCTTCAATAATTGAACGGAAACCTACATTTCCTAGAGGAATCCACGACTTATTTCTCATAATCTTTGTCTATGGTTTCCATTTACCTATACCTTGTGGTGTTACCTTTTTAACACAGTCTTCTCCCCCCAATCAAAATCTTGATCTCTTAAAAGAGCATCAATATTAGGTGCCTTACAATTGTCTCACATAGAATATGAGATGATCCATATCCCTACATCGCACAAAGATCTGGCTCATGGAAGCTCCATTAGTTTTAGCATAGGTCACGTGATTTGAAAGCCCAATGTTCTTATATCATTATATCTAAATTAGCCAGGTTTCTTTATCACTCATTTTGCAAATGTCTATATTACCATAGTTCAAAGATCATAAGCCATAACCCGATCTCCTTGTAATGTCACTTATCATTAATAATCTATGTTTTTACTAAAATTATACTACTAAGTCTAAGCGTAATCAATTTCCCAAAATTAATTTCCATATCCATAATTTGATATAAATCCAAATGATTGTTAAATTATTATCAACAGATTTCCAAATATATACATTTCCCAAAATTATTCAGCCATTAACAATCATGATTTTAATTTTTTTTATATTTCCATATTTAATAATTGTATTTTGAATAAACTCAATTCTTCTGCAATTTTATCCAATATCAGCATGAACATCTTCATTTGTACCAAAAATTTATGATTTTATAATTTCCTTTCTTTTGCATATTTATTTATCAACTAAATGTTCTTTGTCAGCATTTATAATAATTCATTCAATATCAGAACCATTAATATATTTTCTAAATTAAGTTAATTATCAACTATAATTTTATCATATTTTACAAATTCTACATAATTTATTCCAATGACTTAATTCTGATTTACAATTTTACTTTATCCATATTAATTTCATAAAATATCCAATGCATTCATGCTCAAACAAATATCACATATACAGATTAGTTCATACTAACCATGACATTTTCCAATAGTTACCCAAAAATTATTTCATAAAACATCCAATAGATTATTACAGATTATCTGCACCATGACTTCGCCAATATTATAAATAGAATAATAAACATAATATTTATTCATCCATATAACACATAGAAATAAAAGCAGGATATAAAATATATATTGATCCTGATATTATTATAATATATGATATGGATATTGAATTGATGAGTATAATAATTCATAACGTATAAATTGTATATTACAAAATATTCCTATTTACTAAACATTACATATTGGTCTACGTTTAATAATTAGTGTCTTAAAAATTTGGCAAGCCTAATACTTAGAACTGTGTCGTAATATGAGATTCGGATTCATATCAAATTTTTAATAATATAATTCGATTCAAAATATAATACGATATAAAATTAATTATCTATTGAATATACTGAAAAGAAAAAATAAAATTTTTAAAAATTGAATCATAAGTTTAAAAAAATTTGAATTCGGGAAAAGAAATATGAATGTATTTAGACGTAATTGATTTTGCATAAAATTTGAAATCCGATATTTAAGACTCAGCCGAGGGCATGACAATAATTTTAATTAGCTTATAACAGGTTAATGTTAATTAACTGGAAAACTGATTAAATTTATATGTATTAAACAGGCATTACATTACATCGGGCAAAATATTGAAGGTGTTTATAATTTTCATTTTAGAATTATGCCAATCTTAACAATTTTTATTATTTTTTCAATAATGGATTTTCCCTGAACTAACTATCAATTGGGTTGATGTACCTAAAATGTACTAATAATTTTTTAATAAAATTTTTTATTGGAGATCGTTAGGTCCATTTACTGTAGATTTGGCTATATTAGATTTTTATAAAAATAATTTTGGTTTTACACTTTTTTTTAATTACTATTTTTCTAAATATTTTGAATTATAGTCAATATTTTAAAAAGTTATTAACTCTTACAAATTTTTTTTTCAAATTGTTATTTATTATGATATATTGTAGATATAATTGGAAGAAAAGGGGGTTGGGAGTGTGTAGGTGGGATATTAGTTTGGAATGATATTTACGAGAGCATGTAAATTTTTTGGAGGGACCCTCCCTCTGATTACCAGCTTGATTTGACCTCAAACATATGTAACAAATAATATATAATTAAGGAAGCTCTTAATGATATTGCTGGCCAAAATTTGATCTTAAAATTTTTATCCTCTTAAGTTGAAGCACTAATATTTAGCACTAGTCAATGATAAATAAATATCTATAAACTAATAAAGCCTTAAACAATGGCATAAATGATAGAATTAGACTTCCAAATGTTCAATCGATTATAAAGGAGATGATATAAGACATATGATATTAAAAAACAAAATAGAAATAAATATCTAATCATTATTTTTCATTGGCGATACTTGACTAATGGCGAGCAAATGTGTGTTTAGCCATTGGCCACGATTCCTTCACCTTCTACAAGAAATTCTACTATCCACCCCTTCCTTAAATTAATTCTGTAAGCCACTGTTATATCTAGTCAATAAGATTCATAAATAATAAAAAACTATTATTTTTTACTTTTGTCAGTTAAATGCCAGATGATACATCTGACAAGAAATGTTATTCTAATATATATTGGGTACATTATTTTATATTTTCTCACGTTTTTATAAATGACAGAAGAAAAAAAGGGTAAAGTTAAGAAGTTGATTAAATTAGAAAAAGAGATTCAAGGCTATTGGAATGAGAACAAATTATTTGAAATTGATGCTTACTCTAAAAATAAAAAGTAATTAATAAATTTTGAAATAATAATTTTCTTTTAAAATGATTGAAATTAAGTAATATTATCCTTAAATTTTATAATGATTTTAACTTATTATAATATCATTTTACATAGATCGGATGAAAAATATTTTGTAACTTTTCCTTATCCTTATATGAATGGTCCTCTTCATTTAGGCCATGCTTTTACTATGTCTAAATGTGAAGTTTGTTAAATGCCTTTTTATTTATTTATAACATTGGCCTAGTTTTCTGTTGGATACCAAAGATTGAAAGGCAAAAACTGTTTATTTCCATTAAGTTTTCATTGCACTGGAATGCCAATAAAGGTCATATTTTATTTGTAATAAAAATAATATTTATATTATAGGCTTGTGCTGATAAATTGAAACTAGAGGTTAAAAATTTTGGATATCCTCCAAAATTTCCGTCTAAATCTGATAAAGCTAGCATTGAAATAAATAATCTGGAGGTTAAGGAAAATAATAATAATGTTGGTAGGAGTGGAAAGGTAGTTAATTATACTAATTGATTTTTTCTTGCCATTTATATAATGTTGCTAATAATTTGATTTATTTTTTATCCATTAAAAAATCAACCCTTTTAAATTCAACAACTAACAGAGCAAACTAATAGCAAAGGGAGGTGGGGAAACCAAATATCAATGGGAAATCATGAAACAGTTGGGATTTTCAGACAAAGAAATTTTGGAATTCATAGATCCTTACCATTGGATTGATTATTTCACTAAACAAGCTATTATGGATGCCAAGAGCTTAGGATTGAAAGTTAAAATTTATAAATAAGCTCATTTTTTTTCAAATATTATCTCTTACATAACAATATTAACATGCAATTAAGAAAAAGTTTATATTAATAAAGCTTCTCTTTAGACATAAATACTATATTTATTAATAACAAATTATAATCTTATTACACCCACCCTTTAAGATTGATTGGAGACGTTCATTTGTTACAACTGATATAAACCCTTTCTATGATTCTTTTGTTAAATGGCAATTCCGGAAATTGAAACGCACTCACAGGGTGAAATTTGGAAAGAGATACACCATATTTTCTCCAGCAGATAAGCAACCTTGCATGGACCATGATAGGCTTAGTGGGGAGGTTTAATCTTATCACATTGCTAAATTATTGCTATATTTATATATCTCACATCTATAATCTTATGATTAGGATTTTTTTCATTATTATTTATACTGATTAGAAATCTGCAAGACCCAACCCATTTTGACTTGTTAAGAATCTTTGCACAACAAAAAGTTGTGCTACCCCAAAATTTTTCAAAAGTCAGGCATGGTACATCCCAGCTTTTAAAATTTTACTAATAGTCCACTATAGCCCAAATTTTTCTATAAAAATTTCTGGCCATTACATTTTTAAAAGCTATATCTAATTTTTTTCCCAGTATCAATTAAGGCAATTATATATGTAATATATGGCTATCTATTTCTACAACAATCATTTTATAAATCATTGTGTTTGATAAATAATTTGTTTAAAAATTAGTGATCTGCATTGGGCCTATTTTTTTAAGCTTGGCTTTAGCCGTAATTTTTTTTAAAAGCTTTGCCAGCCTGGCTATGATTATTTTTTATTTGTCCCTGCCTAGTCCGAATTAATTTAAATATAGAAATGAATTTTTCTTAATAAAAAATAATTATACCCAAAATAAAAGATATATATCATATAGCACCTAATTTCTACAAATAAATAAAATTAAATATTTTTATTTTACATATAAAAAATGTTGGCGCTTTATTTCTTAGAATAAAATTTAAAGTTGAATCATATTATACCCAAAATAAAAGGACATATATTATCTACAATTACAATTCATGTTGAGGTACTACGCTATGATTGTCATAATTATCTTAGTTAGCGATATCAGATGCTTATCTATTCCTATGTTTTCCAGCAAGGGCCGTATCTTATGCTGTTTAATGGAATCAAAGGCTTGACTTAAATCAATCATTAGGGCAAAGATAGGGGATTTATGCATTCTAGCCTTTTCCAGAATAACTTTAAGTGCCATAGTCAACTCCGTAGTATTTCTACCATTCCTGTATGATGTGATAGCCTTAAAGAGGAACCTGTTAATGATTAATTTAATCCTGACAGATATGATGTATGTGAACATTTTTAGGGCAACTGGTATCAGTGCAATACCTCTGTAATCTTTAAGTCTGTTTGGGGTCTTGTTTTTAGGGAAGTTTAGTATTATTGATGTCATCCATTCGTAGGAAATTTACCCGTATTCCATATCTCCCTAAAGAGGGAAGTGGTAAACTGGCACTTAGGTCTACATCTATCTTCCAGAGTTCTGCAAAGATCCCATCGACTCTAGCAGCTTTATGCATTTTTAGTCGTTTAATGGCACCGATTTTATCCAACTTGTTCAGGTTCTGACTGGGTGATTGGAAAGGGTAGTCACATATAGGTCTGGGCCACCTCGTTCTGTAGAAGTTCATGTAATAATCTATTCATATGTCTAATTGTTCCTTTGGGTCAGTTATAATCTTATTGTTATTTAAGTGTAGTCTTGGTAAAGGATTGGTCTTAAAGGTGGTGAGTAGTTTAAGAGATTAGAAAGCCTTAAATGTTATTATTATCAAAAATGAATTGGATAAATTTAGATAAATTAGCAATAAACAGCCTTTTGTCAGCCCTTATGCGGTGAGTAATGTCCCTCCTGTGATGTTTAGCATATTGGTGATGGGATATATTTATTGTTAGATTCTTAATTATTTGTATAGTTGAAGGGGTGAGCCACTCTCTGCGTTTAATGCGTGGTCTTAAACATGATGTTATACTAACTAATAAATTCAGCTTAATGTCCTTCCAGGTCAGATTTGGGTTAATCATGCCATTTAATGTATTCCTCCACGTTGCTAACTTAGTGACGAACTCTTCTTTCACCTCTAAGTCATTGAGCTATGCTAAGTCTTTTCTGGCTATGAATCTTACACTGGTGAGACAGTTCTGTTTAATGTAATTTGGGAAAATGCTATTGTTGATTCTGAGTTCACAGCCCAGTGGGTAATGGTCCGTAAAAAGTGTAAGGTTTAGTTTACTGATTACTCTGATGTCTCTTACCCACTTGAAGATCTTTGTGAAAATTACAAAGAAATCTATCTGTGAGGTATTGCCAAGGAAGGACTCTTGTAAGTTCATGAGATAAATAGGATGCTCGAAGAACGTATTTTCAATTTTCATGTTGAATAGTTCACAGATTTCTATTAACCTTTTACCGTTGGGGTTCGTACTTTGTACTAATGTGGCATTTCCAAAGCAGGAAGAGTTATTAGGTTTGCCTACCGAAGCATTGAAATCGCCTGCTAAAATGATACCATCCCGACGCGGTAGTTCCTTTAAGATATTCTCCAATTCCATATAAAAGATACTATCATTGTGAGGTGCGTATACGTTAAACAAATGAACTTTTTTGTATCCTAAGTTTAAGGTAAGGCAGCATATTCGACTGGAGACTGGGTTGAAGCTTACGAATTTTATTAATTTATTATGTATCAGAATCGCCACCCCAGCCCATACATGTTCAGCATTCGAGCTGCAATATAAGGTATAATCTAAGAGGTTCCTTACTTCAGTTACTTTAAGTTGGGTTTCTTGTAAAAGGAGGATATCGTAATGTTGATCATTCATGACTTGCCTAAGTATAGTTTATAGAAAAAAAACTTGCTTCTTTAACCTTTGACTTCCAATATAGTCCTAGACTCGCAATACCTGTTAGCTTAGGGATGACTTAATATACCTTGCACTCGAATAAAAATCAGTATAAGAGGATCTTCAACGAAAGTAACAAGAAATACAAGTTATAATACTAGTGCGTAAATTTCTAAATACCTATAACATATATATAAACTACCTGATTCTAATTCCCCCCCCCCCTAGGACCTAAGGATGGATTATCACTCGAAATACATCTTTTAGCACACAAATAAGTAATGGAACCTTATAAACTATGCTATACATCATAATGACATAATTGAAATGAATATATATAGTACTTTTTCTCTTTTTTCCCTTTCTCTCTGTCACAGAATCGGCACAGTAATTATAATAAATTTTAAAAAAAATTTTTCAATAAAGGACCACAGTATTAAAATGATCTCTTTTAATATAAGATCCCTGAATGACAAATTAACTATACTTAGGCAAGTCATGAATGATTAACATTACGATATCCTCCTTTTACAAGAAACCCACATTAAAGTAATTGAAGTAAGGAACCTAGATTATACCTTATATTGCAGCTCGAATGCTGAACAAGTAAGGGCTGGGGTGGCGATTCTGATATAATAATTAATAAAATTCGTAAGCTTCAACCTAATCTCCAGTCGAATATGCTGCCTTACCTTAAACTTAGGATACAAAAAAGTTCATTTGTTTAACGTATACGCACCTCACAATGATAGTATATTTTATATGGAATTGGAGAATATCTTAAAGGAACTACCGCTTCGGGATGGTATCATTTTAGCAGGCGATTTCAATGCTTAGGTAGGCAAACCTAATAACTCGAATATTTTTATTTTACATAAAAAATATTGGCGCTTTTTTTGATATAATATAAAACATAAAATTGATAAATTTAGATATAATTTTTAAAAATGTAGGCCTGAAGCCCATTTGGTTCTTGTCTAGTATGCGCTGGGTGTACCTTTGCAGTACCTAAATACAAAGAAATTGACATATTGTAATATATTTTCAATAGTAAATTAAAATATTAACTTGAAATTCAAAAAAATATATCAAAATTGCAATGCCCAGGTTGTATTATAAATTTGTAATATTGTGTCTGATTTTTTTATATATATCTAATTGACCAGCCCTAAAATATTTTAGATATAACTTGCCTCGCCAGGCATAATTTTTTTAAAAATTTTCCAGACCCGGGCTTTGGATGCAGGAATTGCAGATCTCTTAAACTGATACCTCAATGATTTAAAGTTGTTGTATATTTTATTACACTTTTTGCTTGGTTCATTTTACCAGTATAAGCTGTTAATCTCTTGCTTAAAAAAATGATTTTGGTTTGATGCACCCTAATTCAATGGGAAAATTTTTGTTTGTCCTTGAATGCTCAAGTTAGTATCTACTGGTTTTTACTTTTGTATTTCATATTTAATTGTAAATTTTTTTCATATTTTATTTGTAATCTTAATTGATTCTTTTTTTAAAAAAGGGAATTCTGCCACAGGAATACACGTTGATCAAACTTAGAGTCTTAGAACCCTTCAACAAGCCTTTACAGTTTTATATTAAAATTATTTTTTTTTTAAATCCTGAAAAAGGGGGAAGGTTTAACTCTTGAGGGGTAAGATGGATAAATAAATAATATGGGCAATTGGGTAGGGTATAGCTATCCCTATTTTATGGCTAGATTCATAGCGGGATTCAATTCTGACACGATTTAACAGCAGGTCGATTTTAATCTGTTTTATGAGAATACTTTTTTTAATATTAATTTAATCTTAATAAAGTTTATGATAATAATCCAAGAATTATTGATTTTAATAAAGAAAAATTGATCTCATTAAAATATTTTTGAAATCGCTTAGCTGTAAATGAATCCAGCCTAAAACTGTTAAATCTCACGCAAATTTTTATACTAAGTTCTGATATTTTAGATGCGTATGGAGTTAAACTTAATTTTAAATTATGAACACATATATCAAAAATGGATTTAGAGCTAATCAAATGTTTTTTAAAAAAAACCATGTTCTGAATATAGACTAATATTTTAAAAAATTCAACCCACAAATTATTTTAACAGACAGTTTCTAGACTCCCCTCATCTTAAAAAAATCAGCTGGAGTGGTCGAGTGTATTTACCCGCAGCTACTCTAAGGCCAGAAACTATGTATGGCCAAACCAATGCTTGGATCCACCCTGATATTCTTTATAAAGCCTTTTTGGCTGGGAAAAACTTGGAAAATGACGGGAAAGCTAATGCCTCACAAAATGGCGATGGTAACATGGATATTTATGTGTGTTCTTCAAATGGCGCTAGGAATATGAGTTTTCAAGGCTTTACCGGTCAATTTGGGGAGATCATCGAACTAGGAACCATACCTGGCAAGGTTATTGTTTTTCATGATATTATTTAAAAAGAAGAGTAAAAAAAAATTTCGACTAATCTGAGTAAAAAAATTTAAAAAAAATTATCGACTGATCTGAGTAAAAAATTTTATCCAAAATTTTATTTTATAGAAATAAGTTCGAGTTCGACTCCATTTTTTTCAGTGTTGTCAATAACCTCCGCCATTTTAAAAAATGGCGTAATCAAGATATCAGCCTAACCTAAGCATCAAGATTTGGTCAGCCAGATCTTGAATCGAGGTTTTGACGACACAAATTGGATGTTGAAAAAGTTGCGATATTTTCACGAAGTCGAGAAAATTATAAGCCCCCTGGAGGATGATAAAAAATTTTGTGGTAATCCTTTTATTAGTCATAAAAATATAAAGTATGTCTATATAATTTTTATTTATTAATATGCTAGGATTTGCTAGGATTGAAACTGAAGGCCCCTTATTCAAAATACGACGTAGTCTACTCCCTGCCTATGATGACCATCAACGAAGATAAAGGTTATTATCGATTTTTTTTCTTTATTAATTAAAAATAAAAATTCATAGCTTTGGGTGAATATAATAGTGTTCTATATCCACTTTTTTACAAAACGCATTTTTTTTCGAAATCCTTCAGTACTCTATAGGGGTAGTGCCAATATTAAATATAGGATCTGCACCGATATTTAGCATTTTCAAAAAATATTGGATAATGCAGATTTCTGGGTTATTTTATGATTGTATATATAAATAATCATAATAATAAATTGGGAAAGAACTCAATTTATTTGTTGTAATGTTAAAAAAAAATAGCTATAATTTGTACACAATTTTTTTGGTATATTATCTAAACAAAATAAAGGATTTTAAATAAACGACTCGATGGGCTAAATTTCGAGGTTAGATAATAATATTTTGGCTAAATATCTTATTTAGCCCTTTTTAAAAAAATAGGCTAAATGGAATTTTTTAACAAATATATAAAATATTGATGTTATTATTACATCGATTTAAAGATAAATGGTAAATAAAAATCAATATAAATCTGATCTATACCGAAATCAGTTTTTTAGCAATATATTGAAAATTTTGGATCGGCACAGCCCTAGTATTCTTCCATAGCACCAATAAAAGTGATCCAAAATACACGAATTTTTTTTTAAAAATGCTCTCCTGAAAAATTAACGAATGAACCGATGAATTTTTTCTGGGAATGAAAATGACGATCTAAAATAATTTCTTCTCTTTTTGTTTATATTTTCAAATAATTATTTGTTTTTTTATTCGTGTTAACTGAATTCAGGATTAGAGTACGACTATTATTTTTTCTTTATTAGTATATTACAGAATGTGATTGGTGTATTGGTTTATGAGTATGAGTTTTAAAAAAGTGCTTTATTAAATAGCTATTTTTTTTACATCTAAAAAATTTAGAAAAATGGCAATCAAATTAAGACAGTTGTTTCTTGGGTGCATTAAGATAATACGGGTTAATGTATAAAAATAGGCTAATTAGACCTAATCATCTGGTGCGAATATTTTTTGGGTAAAAACTGTGCTTGGCCGTTTTTTGTCCAAAACTAATAACAGCAATTAACTAGGAGCAGAGTTTGAAAAAAAATCTCCAATCTTATATACTATACATAAATTAGAAAGCATAAATGGGCAAAATTACTCTTTTTTTAAAAAAAACTTAAAAACAAAAAAAATAGGAACGGCCATAGTAACCAGTGTTCCTTCTGATTCTCCCGACGACTATGCCGCCTTGCTTGATCTCAAAAATAAGCCCAATCTTAGATCTAAGTATTCTATTGGGGATGAAATGGTCCTCCCCTTCGAACCGGTATTTTATTTAATATACTATTTATAGCATCACGTGAAAGAACAGTTTTGCCTTGGGGGGCATTCCCCAATGCAAGATAAAAAAATGAAAGGGCTATCAAGAGAACCTCGATTCATTAAATTACTTTTTTTTAAAGATTTATGATCGTTTTTAAATGGGGCATTAAATTAATTATGACAATTTATTTCCTTTTTTCGATGCCTCTTTTTTTTATGGTTGGATCTTGACCGACCTAGCTTAATAATTCTAGTTTGGAGGTAGCCATGAATAGGATTAAAGTTTTTTATTCATATCAAAGACCTGCGGGCTCGGTCCGGTCCTACCCCGTTGGGCCGAGCCTTATATTTTAAGACCGATTATTTTAATTAGCTATCATTAGCTACAAAAATTAAAAATAAATGTATAATATATTTAAAAATAATCCTGGTCGGGTCGAAATTATTTTTTTTAAAAAAATCGGGCTGGGTCGACAAAGTACGGGTCGGGCTTGGCCTTGAAAATGGTACCTCGGCCGGTCTCTGATTTATATATTATTCAAGTGTTTTATATATTATAGGTGAAATAATATAAAGCGCTTTTAAGATAAATTATTATCTTACCCAACCAAATAATTTTGGAAAGATTAATTTTTTTTTGACGAACATGCAAAGAATGATGGGAAGAAAGAAAGTAAGAAAAAAAAACGTAACTCACTTTCAACCTTAAAGAAATGTAGAAAAAAAATCAAGCGAGTGTGATATTTTTAGAATAAAAAATAAATTATTTATATTTTGGTGTTATAAAAACACATTCCTACCTAACAAAGATTCCCATATTAGAGATAGAAGGATTAGGAACCCTCTGCGCCAAGGAGATGTGCCAAAAATTTAAGGTTCAAAGCCAGAACGATAAGGAAAAGCTGAAGCAGGCCAAGGATTTACTTTATCTCAAGGGATTCTACGAAGGGGTTTTTTTTATATTTAAAAAAATACCATTCATTTATCTCACTCTACTCTTAAAATGTATTATATTAGATAATATTGAAAGCTTTTAATCAGTTGAGTTATTGCTTAAGAAGTTTGATAGATTCCTATTTTAGGAATAATCAATTGAGTTTATAAGGGGGAACAATGCATTCGAAAAACTACAACAAATAATTTTCGCAGGTCATGTTAACGGGAGCTTATACCGGGCGCAAGGTATCTGAGATCAAAAAAAACGTGCAAAGCGATTTGATTGCCGAAGGCTTGGCGGATGTCTACATGGAACCGGAAGGTCTCATAGTCTCTCGTTCCGGTGACAGATGCATCGTGGCCTTATGCGATCAATGGTTTACTAAAAAAAATATCTTTAAATATTACACAAATTTATATTAGTTAAACGTAAATAATATATTTTCAAGACGAGTTTTTATAACATAAGATTACTAAAGCTTCTTTTTTTCTCATATTTTTTTTTTACTTTTTAAAAATGTGTATGTTAATTTGTGCCGAATACACTTTAATCATTTGAAAGGAAATACTTTTAAAAGTGATTTCTTCCCGAATCTGGCCTAATAAAGATCGGAAACTGAACTGGGCCAATTTTTTTTTTAATGGATGTAAATGTATAACAATGCGAATATAAATATAAAGCCTAGACTTGCTACCTCTATTATTCGCTCTAACTATCTAACTTTTATTTCTTTCATCAAATAATCTTCCATGCCTCCTTATCAGTGTTGTTAAAAAGCCCGATTCGGCTGATTAAGATTATAGCTAAAATAACATTACGTAAGCCTAAAGATTTTGTACACAACTAGCAGAAATGCTTGGACATCTATTTGCCAAATCTCGATGCTTGCATGATATTATTTTACCTACCCTTCCTAGTTTCTCTTTACTATTTTCTTTTTTAGGCATCCTCTTTTTAAATTTCTTTTCCCTTATTTATCGCCCTTATTAATTTTGCTTTAGAAAAAAATAAATAGTTATATGCCATAAATGAATAAAAATAAATTTTGACATGCTATTATTAAAATATAATAGATTAAATGCTGACACTGACTTTAGATCATTTAAAAAAATCTAATCTTTGGTATGGACTGGATTCTAAATCTTTTTCACTGATCCGATGGTTTTTTTTTATTTTAAGAATAATTCTAATTTTTCCCAGGTATTTGGATTACGGTGAAGAAAAGTGGAAAAGTCAAGTCAGGAATTACGTTGAAAATGGGTTGAGCACGCTGAACAGTTTGGAAATCAAAAAGAATTTTCTGGCTACCTTGGATTGGTTACAGGAACATGCTTGTAGCAGGCTATACGGGCTAGGTATAACATTAATATTTTATAGGCGTCGCCTGCTGTTATCTTTTAGGCACGCTAAAAAAATCTTTTTTGTGTGGTTAGAAAATACGCCAACGTCAGATGAAAAATCGATAAAAGTTTTAAGCAGGATTTTGAACCCGTTTTGGGGTTCTGAAATTCAAAATTACTTTGCGACATTTTACGAACGTGGACTATACCTATAAAAATATAAATCGAATATGTGTGTTATTCGATTTGTATTATTCGTGCTTTACTCGACGAATATTCGATTCGATAAATTTCATAGAATATAAAAAATTAAAAAAAAAATAAATAAAACCCCAAGGAACATGTTTAAATATTTATGAATAATTTTGAATTGAGAATAATATTATTTTGAATATTTGCAAATTATTTTCAAATATTTACAAATTATTTCGATTAATAGTACTAATTTTAAATTATACAGATAATTCGATCAAATAATCTATAAAAAAATTGTTATTCGTAAATAGGTATCGAATCAAATAAATCGAATGTTGAATAATTCATTTTAAGTATAACATGGACCAAACAGAACCTATTTTTGGATAACCCTCAAACCGGGGGTAATATGGGCCAGGGTGGGTTCAGGTGTATTTTGTAAGATCAATCACTAACTTTATACAAAATTCTCGCAATCTTACAATTTAAATTTCTGAACCTGGGTGCAGTAAGAACCTTCATTTTATAGAACTAAAATAAAGCCGAAAGTTATAAATTTAACAAAAGAATATATTTAAAAAAAAATTGTTAGGCAGTAAAATACCTTGGGACGATGGATGGCTTATAGAATCCTTGTCTGATTCGACAATTTACATGGCGTATTATACGATAGCTCATCTTTTGCAGGGCCTGGACAATCTGGAAGGAAAGCTCGAAAATGCATTGCATATAAGGTTGTTTATTTTTCTCATATTATCTCTTAACTCCTTGGGCATTTAGAATCTTCAAAATATAAAATGGCGCTATTATAAGAGGAAACTTAAGTTTTAGAGCTATTTATATTTTATAAATGTTTATTTTTACTTATCCTTTTGCGATTAAAAATGCGTAAAAACTTTACGCGTAAACCTTATAGGTCTCAGACCGTTTTTATGATCTTCGTTTAACATTTCTTTTGTTAATTAATTGAGGAACGTTTTAACCTGATTATTACATCTCTCTTAGATAACTTGAAGTGATCTACATAAGAAGCTCTTTGGGTAAATCAAATCTAATATAAGTCGAACATCATCTATATTCATTAATTCAACTTCATTTTTCATAATAAAATTTCTCGTTTAACCTATATTTTACCACTTTTCTTTTAAAGACCCGCGCAAATGACCGACAAGGTATGGGATTACTTATTCGACCTTAACCCTGATCCACCTACCAATGGCGTCGAAGATAATGGCATTCCCCTCTCGGCTTTGAATCGACTCAAGGCCGAATTCTTGTATTGGTACCCGGTCGATTTGAGGGTAAGTGGCAAAGATTTAGTTCCTAACCATCTGACTTACTACCTGTATAATCATATAGCCATATGGGAAAACGATCCGTATTATATCATGCATAAATATACTCATATATTTTTATTTTTCCAATAATTGGCCTAATATTTTAAATCTTTTTTTAGTAATCATGATTATTTTTGAAAATGAAAATTAACATGAGCTAAAAACCAAGGGTGTTCAATGAGATGGGGTAGTATATGAAGTAGTTGTATGGTAATGGAATATAATAAATCGCATTAATATATAAATAAATTATTTTTGTGACCCCCTCCCCTCCCTTCCAAAAAAAAGATCTAAATGGCCTAAAAGTATTCGAGCGAACGGTCTATTGAACCTCAATTCAGAAAAGGTTAACTTTTCATTATTTTCTATATTATATTCTTTTAGAATTATTCAATAATATATTCTCTAGGTCCCGAATTTCTTAACTGTGGGCAAGATCTGTTTTGTATTTATTTTGTATATTATAAAAAAGAGGACCTTTGAAGGGTTTATTAATTAAAGCCTCCTATTTAATCGCTCAGAAAAAAAATCCCTGAACGCTCAGAATAAATACTTGACCTCGGAAAAAAATACTGAATACTCAGAATTCTTTCTTAATGCTCGGATATAAAACGGAAACGCTCAGATTAAAAAATGATCTGCTCAGAAAATCGTCTTTAAGAAAAATTTCTGCAAAATTCAGTAAAATTTTTTTTAGCTTTAAGGCCGTTTCATGTCGGCCTTGCTGTAAAAAAGAAAAAACGAGATTAAATACTTAAAATAAACCGAAATAGGATGTCATCGATCATACTTTTTAGACTATACTAAAAAGCAATTAAGTATTCAAATTAAGCCGACCTAGGGTTGAATATTTTTTTTTAATTCATAAAAATTCTGAGCGTTTCAATTTCAAGTGTTTATTTTGAGCCAAACAATATAAGCCTTAATTAATTAAATTGTGAACTTTTTTTGCTTATAAATTTAAAAAAAAAATCAGATGTCAAAATCGACGGGAAATTTTATGACATTATCTCAAGCTGTTGGTCATAGAAAAGAGTATCAAGAAGGTTTATATATATATATATATATAGTATTTTTAAGATAATTATTAATTACTGTATTTATTTACAAATATCAATTATTTTTTTTATAAGTTAATTAAAATTTTGGATAATATATGAGTGTTATATATACTATTTTTGAAAGATGGGTATTTATTTATTTTTTGCATTTTATATAATATTAAATGTATATTATATATAATTGAACAAATATGGAGGGATTTTTAGTGCCTCCCCCTTTATTATTCTTATCTGGGTAACAAAGTTTTGTCGGCTTCCTTACGAAAAAACCAGCCCCACGTTCGTTGGGTCATATAGCAAGCATCGTGCTAAATGAATGAATGAATTACTGAATTATTTTAAAAATTGGAATTACTTTTTTTTTAAAAAAAATAATGAACAAAAATAAATTTTCTCAGAAGGCAGCGATTATTTTGGGGCGGACGGGACGCGGCTCGCTTTGGCAGATTCCGGCGATTCTCCCATCGAAGACTCGAACTTTTGCGTGCAAACGGCTACTGTTAATGGCGTCTTGAAGCTTTACGCCTTCTTGCAGTGGGCCCTAGCTTTTAATAGCGAATCATTCGGTATTCATTAATGTTACTATTCTCGCTAATGTGTAAGTTGAATATATCAAGTTGTTACATGTAAAAAAAAACACTGTTGTGTCAAATATAAAAAACGATGAAATAACCAAAACATGATTTTAACAAAATTCTGAAACATAAAATATGAATTTTAAATAAACACAATTTAACAGGATGTGCTCGTTTTGTATTCAAAAAAATTATATTTCCCATAAGGAGTGGGATTCCATTCGACATTTAACAGCTGATCGTTTTTTAAATGAGATCAATTTTAAGAAAGAAAGAAAGAAAATTATTTTATTTTTTAATTCTATTCATTATAATAATCTAAGAATTATTGATTATCATCAAAGGATTTTTAAAAATCGCTCAGCTGTTAAATCGTGTCGAATTGGATCAAACTATGAATCTATCCTTATTCACATTTATTTCCCTGCTCTTCATAAACCTTATTCACATTATAAAGACGACCAACATCAACATAATTTAATCAAAGAACTCCGTTCGGGAATTAGCGTCGATACCATAAGAAGAGGATCTAAATACACGGATTTCTTCCCCGATAAAATTTTTGCAAAGTTTTAAAATTAAAAAAAAAATGTATACTACTTTTTTAACAATCGAATTACGATGAAAGTTAGTTGACGTCTTCCCCTTGTGACAATTAACCAATTTAAGAACGCATAGCTTAGTTTGTTTTCCGCTTAACCCTTTCGCGCCCGACATATTTCCCGTGAACAAAAATTTTTTTTCTTCTAAAACTGAGTTAAATAAGACGCAAATAACACATTTTCAACGTTTTTTATTTTAAAAAGTGTATATATATAGAATTATAAAATGTTACCAATTGTCATCATTGGGATATTCATGTGTAAAAAAAATATACAATTTATTTTGAATGATAAGAAATAAAACAATTGCGATTTTAAACATAAAGACATTTTACATTTTAAACATTCAAATCTGGTATAACCATTTTTGCAATTCTTGCATCTTTGTCTGTTAGCCGCCGAGGGCCAATGCCCTATTTTATCGAATCTAATATCTGGGATTGGATGAAAACTATTCAATTTCTTTCTTTTTTTTCAATCTTCAAATTATGTTTACCTTCTTTTCCATAATTTTCCTTTCCAACCATCATTAATCCTTTAGTTATCCGAGCTTTAAACGGTAAAAGAGATATATATTTATCATCTTTCTGTTTGATGTGGCGTCTATAGAGTAACCACGAATTCACCACACAGGAATCTAATAAATGAAAGAAAATTAGCATGTAAAAGCGCTTCCATTTTATGTCAATTCTGTATAGTTCAATTAACATATCATGGAGATCCACTCCGCCCATACCAGCATTATAATCTTGAATTATAGCCGGAATTTCGACATTAATAAAAGATTTTTAAGATACCGACCATCTTTTCGTTCGTGATGTGCGATTTATACTCATAAATGATGATATCGTGATAACCGATTTGTTATCAAACCATTTGCAAATTATAATATTATAATTAAAATCCACTTTATAATCAAGGGACCCTCTTCCTTTTTTCTTTAAGATTTTATCATCAACCAGATGGAATCCTAATAATCGATTAGATCTATGATCCCCGACATGATAAAGCCATTATCTTTGAGCGCAACTGCTAAATTATATGAAGATAAAAAGTTATCCATGTAAATTTTATGATTTTTATGTGGGGGAACAGTTTCTAATAGTCGTATAACAATATCTCCGCTAATACCCATCAAAGTTTTTTTTATATTTGTGCATTTTCCTATATATATTTCGAAATCATATAGCATTCCAGATGATCCACATAAAGCGTAAATTTTGATTCCCCATTTATGCGGTTTTGAGCTAATATATTGTTTAAATTCACATCGCCCTTTGAAGGGGACTATCATTTCATATTCTTCTCCGTTTTATGGCGATTTCCAGGTTTACCCGGGTAGGCCAGTTTTCCCTCTGATTTTTCTTTTCATCAATTGATAATTTTTCCTCTAATTGAATCTTTCTCATGTTCATTTTTAATGCACTAATAAATGGTCTTAGTTTGAAAAGTTTATCGTAATTAGGCTGGCCCCTAAGGATTATATTATTATTATCATTAATATGAAAGTATTTTCTCAATTCCAAGAATCTGTTTCTTGTCATGCATTGAGAAATTTGAGGAATCACTCTCTCTATAGCCCAATATTGCCTTATTGATGGCAATTTAACAATGCCCGTATAAAGGTGAATTCCGAGAAATTTTTCAATTTCACTACTATTTGTATTTGTTGATTTGCCAGATAATTGAAAAGAATAAATATTCGTTTGCTTTACTAAATTGTTAATAATATCATCGTCTATAAATTTTTTAAAATATTTGTAAGGCGAAATTTCCTTATCAGGTGGAGGCAAAAATTCTTGTTTAAATTCTGTATTATATTTATATAAATCCTTATTTCGCCATAGGGCTTTCCTATTACTTGGGATAATATCATTATCATAATTTTCCAGTTCCAACCCAATATCTGGTAAAATATCATAGGTCATATTTAGATCAACTACTGTGGCATTTTCAAAGTCATCATCCTTCTCAATATCTACATCAGATATATCTCCCTCTGGTATAATAGATGTTGAGGTCATCTAAAAATTATATAAAATTTTAAATAAAATAAAATTTTCACTTTCTTAACTTTTTGCAAATATTATAGTGGCTTGTTAAATGGAAAATAGCCTATATTTAATTCTTACTATATCATATTTTCAATATTTAATTTTAAAAAATTTATGGAAAAAATTACATAAGAAAATCCCAATGTTACCAATTTGGATTTTCTTTAAAAAATCATATAAAAAATAGTTATTGTTAATTTTTTTTTTACTAAACATGAAATACTAGTAATAATCTATCATAAAAATATTATTTACCTTTGATTTATATAAATTTATATAGAATGGTAATCGATGTAAAAGTGTAAAAATTTTGGCGCCTAAAATACCTAACTTTGAAATTATATTCTGATATAATACGTGATATATAGCGCATTCGCCCTCTAACGTTGAATACACAACAGAGCAACGCTAGGTTTTCCTCATTTCCATCTAATTGGAATTTATTAATTTGGGGGAGAAAAAAAAATATGAGGAGCCCTCCACACGTTTGTGGGCAAGCCGCACGTACTTGTACGCACAACATTTCTAAGAAATGTTATTAAAACGTCTATAGGCTTAGAGGAAAAGAGCGGGACCAAAAAATAGCTTATACCCAAGAACTGCTTTTAAAATTAATTACTTTAAAGGTGGGAGGTGGATAATTTAATTTAAAAAATTTAAAGCAAGGTTATTTATTTTTGAGGTAAATTAAAGAAGAATACTTTTGAGAGGAATAAGTCCACATAAGAAATCGAAGAAGAAAAGTAAGAAAAAGGTATGTGAACGAGAGATCCCTAGGAACAATTTTCATCTGAAATATCTATCTTTGATGCGAAAGAGTTTTCTGATAGACCTTTTGCAATTATTAAGCTTTATAAATTGTTTCATGTTTACATTCAGCTCCATCACATCTTTTATAGCTTTGTAATACCATAACGATTTATATTTAGTATACTGTTTCCCTTTATGTGTATATAACCAAACGATAGCATCATGTGCAAGGTTGTGATCTGAATTCCTTATTATATGGGCTAGGAACTGTATCCGACGTTTTTTTAACGTAATATTTATCGGAGAGTGGCTAGATTTCCTCCAGAGGTTAGGGTTAGAGATGACTCTGGGATAAAAAATACCATTTATAGTTCTCAGACAATTATTTATAAAGGATTGAATGCGTCTTAAGTTAGCTTCCCATATGTCACTTCCGTATAATAAAATGGGGATAATAATAGAGTTGAATAGCCTCAACCTCGTAAAAACCGATATTTCCTTAGACTTCTAGATTTTCATGTACATATAGAACGCACTTTTGGCTTTTTGCGTTCTAATCTATATTTCCTCCTTGCATTCCCCCTTGTTATTGAGCATCACACCCAGGTATTTAATATTATCTACTTTTTTGATAACGTTTCCGCCTACCAAAAGATTTTGGAGTGGTGGCGTATTTGGCGAGGAAAGAATAACCGTTTTATTGAAATTAATTTTTAGACCAACTCTGAGGCTTATGGTTTTGATTAGGTAAATCAGGCTTACAACTTTCCCAAATTTTATTAAAGAGAGCAAGGAGAAAAGAAGAGATTATGTTCGGGGATATTTTTAAATATTCAGCTGTAATGTTGTCCAAACCCGGAGCTCTATTGTTCCGTAATTTCTTTACAATGTTTGAAATTTCATTTGAAGAGAAACCAGCCGTAGATATAATTGTATGAGAATTCATAGTAGTTAAAGGAGTAGCCTTGCGGGAGTCGAAAATCGACATATAATGATCCAGCCACAATGCCATTTGCTCATCTTGGTCAGTTATGGTTTTCCCATTCGCTAAGACGATCGTAGGGAGTTTCACGAAGCAACTGGATTTACAGAAGTACTTTAATTTTTTATATGCATCGTAGATTCTGTTCTCTTTCATATCTTTATCAATGTCTGCCGCCCTTTTAGCTATAAAAATTCTCCTATCTTTCCGTAGTAATCTTTTAATGTCTTTCCATAAATCAATGTTAGAGCTGTTCGTCATTCTTAGTTGATATATCTTCTCAAGAGTTTCATCAGACATCCATTCTTTCCTAGACACAAGATTTACGTTTGGTAGTCTATCATAAGATTCCGCCAATTCTTTCTTAAAAAGTTCCCAACAATCTTCAACATTTCCATTTCTGGTAACATTAATAAAGGTTCCTTTTTTCGAAATAAGGGATTGTTCAAAGAGAGTTTTATTTCCTTGCAATAGAAACTTATTTGATTTACGTTGAAAAATTATATTGGACGAGTTAACATTGATGCGCCATTGAGTTAGGAATACTATTATTATGATAACCCCAGATGTTTTTTATATTTATAACTGCAGTAACCATCTTATGATCAGATATGTTGACCCTGGTAGATGCTTTAACATCCACAAACCAACTATGAATATTAGAAATAAAAAAGTAAATTTGAGATATCTGCCTGCCCCTCACAAAGGTATATTTGTTGATATCGCGATGGCAGAAAAAAGTATTTTCTACCTTAAAGTTTTTGTTACTGCAGTAATTAGGAATTTTATGCTGTCTACATCATTAGATTTGTTGAATGGCAGCTTGCCCTATAACTCCTCTACTTATATATTCACTGTCTTTACCTATTTTCATATTGAGATCACCCAGGATTAACGTTATATCTATTTGAGAGAGAGTTTAATATATATATCATTTCGTCTCAAAAAAGTTTTTCTCATGTTCCTATTTTGTGGGGCATAAAAATTCACTAAAAAATATAATTTTTCCACGTAAATCAAATAAGTTTCTATTGCAAGGAAATAAAACTCTTTGAACAATCCCTTATTTCGAAAAAAGGAACCTTTATTAATGTTACCAGAAATGGAAATGTTGAAGATTGTTGGGAACTTTTTAAGAAAGAATTGGCGGAATCTTATGATAGACTACCAAACGTAAATCTTGTGTCTAGGAAAGAATGGATGTCTGATGAAACTCTTGAGAAGATATATCAACTAAGAATGACGAACAGCTCTAACATTGATTTATGGAAAGACATTAAAAGATTACTACGGAAAGATAGGAGAATTTTTATAGCTAAAAGGGCGGCAGACATTGATAAAGATATGAAAGAGAACAGAATCTACGATGCATATAAAAAATTAAAGTACTTCTGTAAATCCAGTTGCTTCGTGAAACTCCCTACGATCGTCTTAGCGAATGGGAAAACCATAACTGACCAAGATGAGCAAATGGCATTGTGGCTGGATCATTATATGTCGATTTTCGACTCCCGCAAGGCTACTCCTTTAACTACTATGAATTCTCATACAATTATATCCCCGGCTGGTTTCTCTTCAAATGAAATTTCAAACATTGTAAAGAAATTACGGAACAATAGAGCTCCGGGTTTGGACAACATTACAGCTGAATATTTAAAAATATCCCCGAACATAATCTCTTCTTTTCTCCTTGCTCTCTTTAATAAAATTTGGGAAAGTGGGAAAACTCCGACAGAAAGGAATAAATCTCTCCTGTGCAACTTCCCGAAAATCAAGGAACCTAAGAAATTCGCAGACTATCGGGCAGTTGCTCTCACCTCCTGTGTATCGAAAGTTTTTATGACACTCATCAAGAACAGGATCTTAACTTCTACACCCCATCTTCTTTCTAAATTAATATGTTGGCGAGGAAAGAATAACCGTTTTATTGAAATAAATTTTTAGACCAACTCTGAGGCTTATGGTTTTGATTAGGTAAATCAGGCTTACAGTCTCTTCAATATTTTTTGATATTACAACAATATCGTCAGCATACGAAACGATCTTATTAACAAAGTGAAAATTTTCATTAGACCCAAAGTCAGCCAAGTCGGCAGCAGCATTTACCTCCTTTATGACTTTATTTATTATGATGTTAAAGAGAAGCGGTGATAAAGTGCAACCTTGTTTTACTCCCTTTTTTATCTTGAAGTAGGGTGATATTTTATCGTTAGTTTTAAAACATGAAGTTAATTTGGAATAATGATTCCTTAAGATGGAGATAATATTTTGTTCGATGCCACACTTTGATAGTGCTACCCATAAGGCGTTATGGTCTACATTATCAAAGGCCCTACTAAAATCAATAAAAGTGTAATAAGACGGAATCCTGTATTTCCAGCACTTTTGCATAATTATTTTTAGCGATAAAATGGGTTCCAAGATGTTTTTATTTGGTCTATATGCGCATATATATTTAGAAAGAAGATGGGGTGTAGAAGTTAAGATCCTGTTCTTGATGAGTGTCATAAAAACTTTCGATACACAGGAGGTGAGAGCAACTGCCCGATAGTCTGCGAATTTCTTAGGTTCCTTGATTTTCGGGAAGTTGCACAGGAGAGATTTATTCCTTTCTGTCGGAGTTTTCCCACTTTCCCAAATTTTATTAAAGAGAGCAAGGAGAAAAGAAGAGATTATGTTCGGGGATATTTTTAAATATTCAGCAGTAATGTTATCCAAACCCGGAGCTCTATTGTTCCGTAGTTTCTTTACGATATTCGAAATTTCATTTGAAGAGAAACCAGCCGGGGATATAATAGTGTGAGAATTCACCGTAGTTAAAGGAGTAGCCTTGCGGGAGTCAAAAATCGACATATAATGATCCAGCCACAGTGCCATTTGCTCATCTTGGTCCGTTATGGTTTTCCCATTTGCTAAGACAATCATAGGAAGTTTCACAAAGCAACTGGATTTGCAGAAGTACTTTAATTTTCTATATGCATCGTAGATCCTGTTCTCTTTCATATCTTTGTCAATGTCAGCCGCCCTTTTAGCAATAAAAATTCTCCTATCTTTCCGTAGTAATCTTTTAATGTCTTTCCATAAATCAATGTTAGAGCTGTTCGTCATTCTTAGTTGATATATCTTCTCAAGAGTTTCATCAGACATCCATTCCTTCCTAGATGCAAGATTTACGTTTGGCAGTCTCTCATAAGATTCCGCTAGTTCTTTCTTAAAAAGTTCCCAGCAAACTTCAACGTTTCCATTTCTGGTAGCATTAATAAAGGTTCCTTTTTTTGAAATAAGGGATTGTTCAAAGAGAGTTTTGTTCCCTTGCAATAGAAACTTATTTGCTTTACGTGGAAAAATTATATTGGACGAGGTAGCATTGACGGCCATTAAGTTAGGAATACTACCGCGAATTTCTTAGGTTCCTTGATTTTCGGGAAGTTGCACAGGAGAGATTTATTCCTTTCTGTCGGAGTTTTCCCACTTTCCCAAATTTTATTAAAGAGAGCAAGGAGAAAAGAAGAGATTATGTTCGGGGATATTTTTAAATATTCAGCTGTAATGTTGTCCAAACCCGGAGCTCTATTGTTCCGTAATTTTTTTACAATGTTTGAAATTAAAATAATGATTTTGACAGGTTAATGATAAAATATGAAAGAATAAATATTGTTTTGTAAATTAATGTGTCTAAATAGCAACCATTTTTTTAAATATAAAAATTAATTGATTAAAAATTTTGATGACAAATGATCTCGCTGTACGCGAAAGGGTTAACAGAATAGTCAAATGTTTTAAGATGCTTTAAAGGTTCCAATCGGAATTTTTGAATTTTTTTATAAAAAATTATTTTTTTTAAACATTTGGCTTTGCGAAATTATATATTATATATTGAATTTTTATTTTCTTTTAATAAAAATGCACTTAGCGAGATAAACGACACTATTAACCAGGCGGAATACTTTTATGAACGGATGATGTTTAAAGAAGCTTTAAAAATTTGCTTTTTCGAATTTCAAGTAAAACATCTTTTTAAAAACACGGTGGGATATAATAAATTTCCCACCTTTAAACGCAAAAAAAACAGCATAAATATCCAACAATATTATGAAATTTAGTTCATTTTCTCATATTTAATATAACTTTGTGTTTTCGCCTAATTTTTTGTTTAAAAAAAATGAAATTTCCATATAATAAAGGGCTGAACTATTTATTTATTTCTGGTATAAAATAAGGGAGCGAGGGATAGGTACCGAGAACTCTGTATGGATTTGGGCATGAATTATTCGCTTATCGCTAGGTATATAGAAGTGCAATGCTTGCTGCTTTCGCCTATATGCCCACACGTTACCGAATTCATATGGCTGCATTCCTTGAAAATGGTTTTACAAACATTAATTGATAAATGATTAGCCATTAGATTTGTATTAATAATTATCTATAATATGTTTTGACACTTCAAATTCATTTTTGAGAGTCACTTTCTTTTGTTATTTTGATTCATATCAAATATGTTTTATTATGGAAATTTATAACTTTCTAAAAGTGAATTCTCATAAAGTGATTCTTCTCAAGTAGATTGGTTAATATTGAGAAATCGTAAATATAAATATTTTTTATAAGATTTTGGTTGGGAATTGCTAATACCGACTTAAGATGGTCAAGATAGGTGCGTTTTCATCATGGAAATAACCTTTTGGAGGTTTCATTGATGTTATAGCACTGTTTTTTTTTATATAAAAACAATTAATATTAGAAAACTTCTATAACTCAAGCCAAATGGCCCCTGGCTGGAAAGGTGGATAAGAATTTGCTAGAAGCTTCCAAATATCTCTGGAAAAATGCTCACGAATTCAGGATTCACCTGAAAAGTTTACTGATTGGCAAAAAGGTTTTAATTATTATATATTAAAATAGTATAATTCACTTATAAAAAATATATCTATATAGTATATACTTTCTTAAACTATCGCCTATATATAATTAGAGGTTATCTAAACTGTACCCATTCATAAATGGTTTATATTTTTAAATATTAATTTAATTGTATTAATAATCAAAGGAATAAAGCTTTTTTCTTCTTCTATACTCCTATTTTCATACATTTCTAGAAAGAATTCGCTGGTAAAAAGCCTACCAATGCCATCATATACGTAGCTAAAGATTTCCCCCATTGGCAAAAGATCGTTATAGATACTTTAACTACTTTGAAGAAGGTTTTTTAAAAAATATATTTCTTGATTTATACTTATTGTAATGCTTAAAAATTCCATTTTTTTAAATCCTATTCATAAGATCTTAACTACAGTGAGACGTTTTGGAAACATCACTATTTTTTCAGAAAAATATTTTAAAGAGAATTTTGCAAAATTGTTTTATTGTTCTTTACATATAAATATAAACATTTAAAAGTGAATTATAAATTATTATTTTTTAAAAAATAATTAAATAAAATATTACACATTAATTTACCTTTATTATTTACCTACTTCTGTTATTTATTATAAATTATTTATATTTCGTTATAACATATTGCAGGGGATCTGCCAGAGGTCTAAATTTTAGGTCTAGCTTAGGTTTGAAAAAAATTCATTTTTAAAGCCCGACCCAAATTTTTTTAAAAAGAATTCTTTTTATATTGGAGTTGGCCCAGAATTATTTGGCCCCCGATTTTTATTCTTGATCATATTTCATGCTGCTCCGGAATTAAAATTTTCTTAGAAAAAATAAATTATACCATATGGAGGCCGATTCCGGGCTCTCACCACATCTCGTATATACTGTATATATAGCAGAGACCTGCAGGCCCGGCCCTAGGCCCGGGCCGGGCCGTATTTTAAATTTTTTAAATATATCCGGGCCGGGCCTAAAAAAATTTTTTTTAAAATATATCCGGGCCGGGCCTAAGATTGTTAAACCCGGGCTGGGCCTTAATATTTTTTATAAAAATTTTTACATTATGAGTTAATGGTTATAAGATTAGATTATATTATAGTTATGATTAATATAATATTGGGTGATGGTTAACACACCTAACACCCACAGATCGATCTAATTATTAATTTCCTGCAAATTTATTCAAAGTATTAATATATTTTTTTATAATTCATATCTAAATTTTTACAACATATTTTACCAAAACAATCAAATAAAGGAATATCTTAAATAAGCCCCAATATTCAAGTATTAATAATATATTTTTTATAATTCATATCTAAATTTTTAGAATATTTACCAAAACAATCAAATAAAGGAATATAATGGCACAAAATACTAATGATATAATTAATAAAATTAAAAATAATATTTATTCTTTTAGAAATACAAATAATAATTTAAAATCTGAAATATGGGCTAAATTTAACATCATCATAGATGAAAATAAAAAAAACATTGGCTACGTACAATGTAAGAATTGTTCAAGTATATTATCTTATAATTATAAACATGGTACATCACATCTAAAATGACATAAATCTGTTGGTAAATCCATAAAAATTAATAATTTTTTTTTACACCTGAAAAACCAACCTATAAGTAATATAAAATATTTAAAAATTATAAAATAAATTATATTAATATTGTGCAATTAGATTATATTTTCAAAATACTATTTGCATTTTTTTAAATAGCGATTTATTTTTATTTTATAAATTAAATAGTAAATTAAATACAATATATTATATTCTCAAAATATTTTCCATTTTTATAAATTAAATATTTTTATTTTTTTTAAATGCAATATAAAATATAGTATATGCTCAAAATATTATTACCATTTTTATGAATATTAGTTTTATTTTTATAAATGCAAAAGATATAGTATATGCTCAAAATATCCATTTTTATAAATAACAGTTTTATAATATAAATTCAATATTATATTCTCAAAATATTAGCTTTTTTCATGTATTTTTTAAATAATAAGCGATAATACTCGCTGAAAAATATGGTAAAATACTTCATAGGTGAATTTTTGTATATACCAGGTCGAATATAATTTTAAAAAATTCCGAGCCGGGCCTTAAATTTTTAAAACCGGGCCGGGCCGTGCAAATGGTGCCTCTGCAGGTCTCTGATATATAGGCTAATTCATTATCTATAAGCTGCTCATTCGCGAATACCATTTTTTTTAAAAAGTGAAAACCCTAGTATGTTTTTAACATATTGATAAAAAGGATAAGAGTGAGAATATGATCGGGCTCGGTCTACCCGAAAGGTTAAATTGACGGCCCTGTCCCCTTCTTAATTTTTTTATTATTGTTATTAGAATAACGGTGGCACCTTACCCGATAACAAATTCATATCCGAAGCGCTTTACAAAATACCCGCTCTCGAGAAATACAAGAAGAAAATTATGCCCTTGGTTCAAACCATTAAGGTTTATTTTAATTTGCATTCATTTAAAAAAAAATTAAGATTAAAATAAAAGAATAGAATAGCTATAATTTAAAAAACTATAAACGTAATTCTTAACTTTTTATTCAGGATAATTTTGACGAAGAGAAAACATTTTTACTGGACGAACAGAACATTTTACAGCAAAATATCAAATATTTGTGCAACACTTTGGAGGTTAGTTCCTTTTTTTTGTAAAATTTTTCTTAGAAATCAATGCTTAAAACGAATAAATACACACTTTGCATAAAGTGTGTATTTATTCGTTAAGTTTCAAAGTCTTTTTTTTGTTGGAATTCTATCAAGTAAAAATTGATTTTCTTATATTTTTTGGGTTTATTCTTTGAATCCACTCATAGCTACTTATTTGGGGAAGTGGTTACCTATTGAGCCATCTATTATAATTTATTAATTATAGTTTTTTTTCTCTTCTTTTTATTCGATCCTTGGTGGGTATCAATATTTTTCTGAAACTAACCTTTTGTACGAAGTTATGGTTATAGGCCATAGTGATATCGCTTAGGACCACTCATTGACATATAATAAGACCTTTGACGATTAATTCATTTAGGAATATTAATCCAAATCAGCTGATGGACGCCATATTGGTTTCCCGTTATAAAGAATTTACATAGCTTTTTTTGAAAAAATATATATGGGATACCAAAATGGCGTGTCACCAGCTGATTTTTATTCAATATATTTTAAAAAGAATGAATTGTCAGTCTAAATAAGCATAATATCTTATTGGGTTTAATATTTATTTAATATAATAGCTCAATACACCCACTTACCGAAATTTTATACAAGTTTTCTAATAGATGCCTATTATTATTTTTTAATGATAAAGGAAAATTAGTTATTTTTATAAATGATTTTCATTTTATGCCCCCCCCCCTCTTTGCATTTAAATACCAAAACGTAATGATAAGGACTTGATTTGTATTAAGGTTAGCCTACTGATATGACTAAGTTTAGGTTAAATATGATCTACCATTTTAAAAATAATGTTTGGGCTATCATATTATTATTTTTTTACCAAATTCAAATAAGGTGCTTTACCATGATACATATCAACCCAAATTTAAGTGTATCCTTTAAAATTGTTTATTTTTGTATAATGCGAAAAGCTTAAAAGGATAGATGTACTTGCCGATACCCAAGACGACAAAATAGAATGTTGTCCCGGAAAACCAGCGATCGTATTTGGGTTTGAACCGGTATTTGATATCCTGTTTATCAACAAGCAAGTAGGGGCCCCTTATTTCGAAATAAACCTACCCGTGACCCAAAACGAAAGGGTGGCTGATATCATTGACAGTTTAAACTTAATATTTTTTTTCTCTTCACTTCCCTTTAAAACTAAAAAAACAAATATACCTTACGTATTTTTTTCGCCTCGTATTTATATTGTTGGCAATAAATTGAACTCTGGCACCATCCTCTCTCACATACAAGGTTTGCCATTGTTTTTGCACAGAAAATCTTATTATGATAGCTCAAAATACAAAAATAACATTTCCTATATTTTATTCTCATTCAATTCATAAACCATAAGAGAAAAAAAATGTAATTATCCCTATTTTTACCATTTGTTGGAACAAATTCCGATTTAAAACGAACATTTGTTAAATAATACAATCTTTTACACTTTAACTTATAATTTATTCGAAAAAAATCAGCGAAAAAAATTTAAATTCATTTGTTTAATTTTGTGCATCAATGATACTGCATGAAAATTACTTTATAAGCTACTCGAAATAAGCTTTATTCTATAAACTTATTTTTGAATAAAAAGAAAGTAGCGATTTTTAAATAAAAGAATACTCGGATAACCTTATTAACTTTACCATATATCATTTGAAAGTAATAGAGAATCAAATTATTTTAATAGAGGAGGTTGAAGGAATGACATCAAAGTAATTTTATTTCCTAAAGACCATCATTGTATCATATAGAAAATAAAAATAAAAGGAAATTTATTCATTGATATTAAAAATTAATTTAAAAGTATAATATTTATGTGCATAATTAGTTGGAACATTTTTTTTATTGTTGAATATTTACTTTTATAAAAATGAAGGATGGAAAAGGATAATTAACTATTAAATTCTAACAATTATACAAATCCTTGCTTAGCCATGACGTTGATTAATGGTTAAAACAACAATAAAAAAAATTTTCTTATGTATTAAAATATTAATTAATTATTAATTTTTTTAAATAATTTAGTTATTCAGCTGATTTTTATTAAAAAAATTATATTTTTATGCTCGTTTGAAATGGGAAATAGTTCGAAAGAATGATAAAAATTGGGGTAATACTTCTTTTTTATATAATATTCGAATTGAATGAAAACAAAATATAAAAAATTTACCGTATTTTAAGTTCTCTTAATAAGAGTTTCTGTTCAAACAACGACTAACACTGTATTTTTAGATCTTTACTTTTGTATAATTTATTAGCAATATCATCCGATACATTTTTCAAAAAAAAAATGATCGGCAAAATAACTAGATTCTTGGTAGCTTATCAACTTTATCATAATGCAGCATTGACTCGTATAATTATATTACATAGAATAAAATACTGAATAAGTCTAGAAAGAAAACAAAGAAAAAAATTAGGTGTACCTACTATTATTTAACTTAGGGCCATACGAGTGTATTGGGTTTGAGATCCTTACCTCTGAGTCATTTATAGATAAAATTCTTAAAGATTTTATCCTCAAAAGAAAAGATAAAAAATATGGAATAAAAATAAAGAAAAGAAAGCAAAATAGGAAAAATTACACGGATGAGCTAAGTTCAGATAACGTTATATTTGTGATCTCCACTGAAAATAGGTTTTATTTGTATTTATTAACCTTTTTTTAATGTCCTCTCTGGTCATTTAATTTTAGGAATAAATAAATATCTGGCACGCTCGGCCGATTTCAAGGCTAAAGATATATTCCTCTGCAGATACGAAGACCCCTTGTTAGGGCCCAGAATGCTCCCATCTTGCTTGGATTATGAAGAGCAACTCTTTGGTCCAAATAAGCTTGCTACTTCTTTACCACGTATGCATTCTCTCATTAAATTTTTTTTATTCTTCACTCCTAGTCCCTTAATGGTTTTCATTGATTTTATATATTTATTTAGGGATGTACCGACATTTTTTTTGAATCAGACCGATATCTCATCTTTTTTTAAATATCGATATTAGCTAATATTAAAAAATTTTGCTATCCGATAAAATGGCTTTTAAAATTTCATAATATTTTCTGTTTGTTACTTATTATGTAAATAGATTAACGTCATTTATATAAATAATTGATTTATCAATTTAAAATATTTTATATACTTTTAGATTCATGAATATAAACTATAACTGATCATTCTAATATATTTAAATGACTTATGTTTTCCTTTCTTTTTAGCTTTCACCTGGTAGCTCCTTCAATATCTCTCTCCATTTTATGTTATTCTTGCTATCTCTTTTATCTAATTTATATTTCTTCATATTGGCTCTAACTTTATTGCCCCATTGAAGTTTTGGCCTTTCTCTTTTACATTTGCCCATCACTTCCAAACTCTTAACCTTATCTCCTATATAGTTTATAGGCCTTCTCATTGTGTGCCCATACCACCTAGTCTGTTCACCGTTATCTTAGTCTTAATAGGCACTACTTTAAACATACTAGTATTCCTGTACTTCGCACCTTATCCGTTCTTGATACCCTAGCATATCAGCATTCTCATCTACATAGTTTGTAGACTTCTCTCGTCTGATTCTTTGGTTGGTCATGTTTTTGAACTGTATAGAATAGTTGGTTGTACTATGGAACTGTTAATTTTTCCCTTCAATTTGTTTGGAATTCTTTTGTAGAGCACTCTAGATAAAGATCTCCACTTTAACCACCCTTGATTAATTTTACTCTTTATCTCTTTCTCTATTATGCCGTTTGTTTGTATAGTGGAGCCCAAATATTTTCAGCTTTCAATTGCCGATATCTGCCATTCATTTATATCAATGCTCTCTGTTTCATCTTCTATCACCATATACTCCTTCTTTTCTTTGTTTACTTTTAGTCCGTGCTTTTCTAAGATATTTATCCAACTTACTCATCTTTCTTTCATTTCATCTTTGGATTCTGCAAGTGTCACAATATCATTTGCGAATATCATATTCCACGGGACTGTTTGCGGTATAAATTGTGATAATACATCTATTACTGTTATGAAGAAAAGTGGGCTGAGAGTCGACCCTTGATGAACTCCCTCGGCTATTGTGAAGCCTGTTGAAGTACCACTTGTGCTACGACCATTGTTGTATGGCCCATATACATATCCTGTATTATTTTTTTATATTTTTCGGAAATCTTTTGTTGCATAGCGCCCACCAGATAAGTTTTCTTGGGATTCTATCGAAGGCCTTTTCTAGATCGAGAAAGACCATGTGTAGCTTTTTGTTCTTTTCCCTGTATTTTTCACTCATTTGCCTAATTGCATGGATAGCATCGGTTGTTGATCTTCCAGGCATAAAGCCAAACTGTGTCTCTCCTATTTCGATTATATCCTTCTTAATCTTTTTTCTATTATTTTTTCGTATAGTTTTAGACAGTGTGACATTAGTTTTATGCCCCTGTAATTTTGACAATTGTGTGGATCCCTTTTATTTTTGAAGATAGGAACTAGATAGCTTTGCCTCCATTTTTGAGGGATCTCACATTTCCCAGTATTTTATTATACAGATTTGTGAGGAGATGTATTCCATTATCTCCTAGTACTTTAATGCTTTCTATTGGAATATCATCTGGACACCTAGCTTTGTTGTTTTCTATATGCTTGAGACATGTGATTATTTCTTGTTCTGTTATTGGTTGTATAAGGTTTTGACATGGGGAGTGTTCGTCTACATGTAGTATGTGGGGATTAAAGTTGAGAAGCTCCTGAAAATATTCTTTCCATCTATTTATTATTTCTTTTTCCTTTATCAATTTCCCATCTTTATTTTTGATTACTTTCGGAGCTCCGTTTATATCCCTAGAATTTTTTTCTCGCTGTTTGGCTAATCTGTATATTTTATTTTGCCCTTCTTTGGTATGTAGTTCTTCATACATGTCATCATATGCCATAGCTTTGGCCCTAGCCACCGCCTTTGTAGCTATTCTCTTGGATTTTTTTTTTAATTTGTCTTGTCATCTGGGTTTTTAAATTTGTACCATATTTTATATAGGGCTTTTTCTCCTTTATAGTGGTTTGTACATCTTTTCCACCACCATAGTTCTTTGTATGATTTGTTGCCTCCCCTTGTCAAGCCCAGTGTCGATTTGGCAGTGTCTATTAATCTGGATTAAAGGTCTGTCCACATTTTTTTCACTGGCTTGTGAGGAATCTATTGTTTCAATGTTTGCATTGATTGCAAAGGCATCTGTCATTAATTTTAATCTACCCCATTTAATGCATGGTTCAAGTTTTATCTTGTTTTGAGTGGATTTATTTGTGATGTGTAAATCCATGACTAGTAGCTTGTGTTGCGCGGCAATATCTTCTCCTGAGATGACTTTGCAGTTATTACATCTTTTAATTTTCTGATAGAGATTAGCATGTAATCTATCTAGGTTTTCCTTATACCACTTTCATATGTTATTAAATGACTGTCCTTTTTCTTATATGGTTAAGGCAAGGTCGAAGGCTTGCACAAATTTCAGTACTTACTCTTCTCCATATTCAAAACAATCATGATGCCTTTTGTAGCTGTCTCTTGCTTTTCCCACATGAGCATTTAAGTCTCCAGCTATTATGACTAGGTCATTCTTAGGGATCTTAGGAAATATTGCCGTGCAACACAAGTTATTAGTCATGGATTTACACTTCACAAATAAATACACTCAAAACAAGATAAAACTAGAACCATGCATCAAATGGGGTAGATTAAAATCAATGACAGATGCCTTTGCAATCAATGCAAACATTGAAACAACAGATTCCTCACAAGTTAGTGAAAAAATATGGACAGACCTTTTATCTAGATTAATAGTTACTGCCAAATCTACATTAGGCTTGACAAGGGGAGGTAACATGTCACACAAAGAACTAATGAAGAGGTACAAGTCACTATACAGGAAAAAAGGAGCCCTATATAAATATGGTACAAATCCAAAGAACCCAGATGATAAGACAAAATACAAAAATTCCATGAGAATAGCTACAAAGGCGGTGACTAAGGCTAAAGCAATGACATACGATGACATATACGAAGAACTACATACTAAGAGGGGCAAAATAAAGTATACAGATTAGCCAAACAACGAGAAAAGAATTATAAGGATATAAACGGAGCTCCGAAAGTAATCAAAAATAAAGAAGGGAAATTGATAATAAAGGAAAAAGAAATAATGAATAGATGGAAAGAATATTTTCAGGAGCTTTTCAACTTTAATCCCCACATACTACATTTAGATGGACACTGCCCATGTCACCTTTTACAACCAGTAATGGAACAAGAAATAATCACATGTCTCAAACATATGAAAAACTAAAAAGCTAGGGGTCCTGATGATATTTTAAAAGCCTTAAAGCACTAGGAGATGAAGGAATACATTTCCTCACAAATCTGTACAATAAAATACTGGGAAACGAAGAGATTTCTCAATGGCGGCAAAGATATCTAGTTCATTTTCAATAAGGGATCCACACAGATTTCAAAATTAGGGGCATCACACTGTCTAAAACTTTACGAAAAAATAATAGAAAAAAAGGTTAAGAGATATAGTCGAAATAGAAGAGACTCAGTTTGGCTTTATGCCTGGAAGATCAACGACTGATGCAATCCACGCAATTAGGCGAATGATTAAAAAATACAGAGAAAAGGACAAAAAGCTTCACATGGTCTTTCTCGATCTAGAAAAGGCCTTCGATAATTCTAAAAAACTTATCTGGTGGGCGCTACGCCACAAAAAGGTTCCCGAAAAATATATATGAATAATAAAGGATATGAATATTTGAGCCATACAACAATGGTCCGTTACACAAACCTTTGAGCCGTATATGAGAAAAATCGTCAGGCTTGTATAATAATTTTTCTGGATAAATACTGAGTTAACATTTTTAAAAATCGACTTGGACCGATTTTGTAACACTAGATTGTGTGCATTAAAAATTAAAACGATTAGTATGTTTACAGAATACAAAAATCGAATATGATATCGGCGGCCTTAATTTAATATTAGATCTGATCGGCCACCAAGAAGTAGTGTCATTACACGCCTATTAAATTAATATGTTTAGATAAAAATATAAATGAGCCATAATAAAAATTAAGGAATATATTAACCCTCCTCCCTAATTTTGCTTAAAATATCTATAAAAATTTGGCACATTTTTTGCAAGTTATTAACTTACCCATATTCTTCATATTTCCCCCAATTTATAAATAATATGTTTAGCATGTCTTGTTAAGGATCACCGGGATATCATAATTTTAGTTAATTTTTTAATTTATTTTTATGTGTCATTTATGCTTCACTAAACCTTAAATAGAGTAAAGCACTAGCGAAATGCTTTTTGCAAAGAAGCTACTGCGTTAATTAGGGTAGTAATTTAAGCATGTATTATTGTGACATTTTGATATATGGCCTTGAACTATTGTCCAAATACATTTTTTGAAATATTGAAAATACTCAAAATATTTTATTTTCTAATTGAATTTTGCATAATTATAAATAAATTGCTAATATAGAAAATAAAGTCAATTTGTTTTTCAATGGTAACTATAAGTTATAAGATATTGGGAGAGTCCTAAAGAATTATATGATTATGAAAATGAAGAGAGTAAGTAACATTAATACACTTACAAACAAAAGAAGATGATAACTATTCCGAAAAAAATGAAAATGTTATTAAACCCCAAATAAACATATACCATTTGAAATTGATAAAAAGCAATTTATTTCAATTATATAGTTTAATATTTTACAGACCCAAATCAAGATGGAAAAGTTGGCATTCTTTATCTCCGTTACACTTGTCATATCTTAAGCCTTATGACCACAACCAATTCATTTCAACAGTCCTTATCACTAGCCTTCACAATACAGCGGTGGGGATATGTATAGCATGGAATTTTATCGGTTGATCAAAATCTTCTGAAATAACTCAGGCAAAATTAAAAACTAAACTTATCATGGTTTTTGAAAACATAATTTCAGGTTTTAAAAGAAAATGGACATTTTATAGAAGAATATTGTCAAATATTATTTTCTCTGTCAATCGCTTTGGATAAATTACAAAAGGGGGAGGAAGGTTATTATGGCGACCTAGTTCTAATAATATTTATAGTTAGGTAAAAACTTATTTTACTTAAAAGTGGCTCGCTGAATTATTTCTTACTTTTACTTAATGGCTGTGTTAATTGATCTGGAGAAAATTTATGAAAAATTGTTATATTTTGACAATATTATGCAGCATTTTAGCTACGGTTTCGCATCCATATTAGTGTTGCTAATCCACTACATTTAGTCGACTAACTAATAGTTATAGTCAAAAAATTCGACTAAAATCTTTAATTAAAGTTTTTGAAAACAAAAAATTTGCCTAATCTTCTATTAATAAAATAATAATTTTAAAAAATATGCAAAATATTAGATTTGGTGCAAGCCAGGCGCTAAATAAAAAGAAATATAATGGAAATAAATTATAAGCAAATCCACGAAATTAATCGACTAATTAACAACACTAATCCATAAAAACTGAGATGCTGAGGAATTTCTTTGAACAAGATTAAAGGTAAGCAAAAATTATTAAAGAAACGATAGCATTTAGATACAAAATCTCTTACTTTTTTTCATGTTGGCGATAATAATGATAAATTTTTATTTTTGTTGATCATCAAAATCATACTCTCGATTTAATGACAACATGATATTGAGCTTTAATATCTTCGAAATTCAAATACTTAATAATTGGATAATAACAAAAATATTTCTGAAATATAATACAACATTACCTTCTTTCTGGAATAGTGGGAAGACTTTTTTCATCTCTCACTAACGGTGTTTGGATCCAAAATTTTGTCAAATATATATTTACACATACCCCTCATTTATTATAATAACTTTCTTATATAATAATAAATGTTGTCTTCCTAAATAAAGTTGTTAATTAAACTTTTGAAACCATTTGTTCCATCGCATCAAGCATAATTTAAAAAAAATTCATGCTCAGTTTAACAATTATTTACCATTTATATATCGTTGATTTTCAATATGCGAACGTTCGTGATTAATTTTGAGCAATAATATAAATCTCTATGGTCACATTCACAAAAATTTATTTTAGACATTCCAAAAAATAACTAGTTATACAGCATAAATGTACCCTTTTCAAAATATATTTTGTTATAATTAGACCTGACTCATACTAAGCAAAATATCTCGCCTGTTAACACAAATATATGCTAAATGTTAAATCTATTGCTAAATCTCATTTCACAAAATGATGATCATTTCGTTTAATTTGAATTAGGCCATAAAATTTCTTTTTTTAAAAAAAAATAACTATTTAATAACACTTTTATTTTTTGAATTTTCGATTATTAGCCACTCATTTACATCCCGTACCAATGGAAAGCAAATTCTTCTCTGAGCCAGATGACAAAAATGGTCTGAAAATATTTTTATTTCCCAAGGAAAAAGATTTTTTCGAAGTCGGGAAAACGTTGGTTTATCACGTTTCCGCCTGAAATCTATTTTAAAATATTTTTTACATATAAATCATTTTTTTATATAAAATAAAAAAGAAATTGATTTGATCTGTAATATATTAATTTTTATGTTTAGGTATTTTTTGCGTTCCTATAGAAAAATTTGTTCCGCCCCCTTTCGAACCTTTCTGACAGATGATATTTCATTTCCATTTTCAATCAAACATTTTTATCTGGTAATCTTTATTCATAAATCAATTATTGAAGACCCAAACATTAATATATTGCCTGAAATATTTATCGTTTAAATTTATACGGTGATAACAATTATAAATTTGAGTGTGAAAAAAAACAACTTATTGCCAACCCTAATTTTGTAACCTTATTATCCACTTAAAATTTATTATAGCATACTTTCAAAACTTTCTAATTTGGGCACAGTTAGCACTATACCTATCATATTTTATGAATAGGAATATTAAAATTAATTGAATTGAATACGAATAAAGAAAATAATATATTATTCTTCGAACAACTTTTTTTATCCATTAGATCGAATTATTCGTATAATTTTAAATATTTCGTGTTATTCAAAATTTATCCTAAATCGGCATCATTTCGAAACTATTCAAACTTATTCCTAAATTTTTAAAATGATTTGCAATTAGTTAAATTGTTAAAAATATTCAAAGATTTATTCAAAAAGTTTTGAAGATTTTTTAATATTTTTTTTAAAAAAAAAGATTTTTAAAGAATATAATTTTCCAAACGAATATTCGACGAATCAAATCAAATAACGTTTTTATTATTTGTAATGGAATTTTTCGTTTCACATTTTTATAGTTGTGACTATGAATTTTGGTTAATTTAGACGTGCCTATTCACTCTTCTGTTATATTCTTAGTTTAGCAAAAAAAATGAGATTATATTTATTAATTCATCAAAATAGTGAGTAAAATTATATATGGTATTCATAAACTTATGCAAAATAAGGTTACTTCATTCAGGTTATATCATTTTAAAAAAATAATGATAATATACCCCCCTTTATAAACGCGATAACCCAAAATAAGAATGTCTAAAATGGTTGTAGGAATAAAAATATATAATTAATTTATGAAATAAAATAGTATGCTATCTTTTTTTGTTTACAATATATTTTATATACATATATGGCATTTGATAATGTCTTCTTTGGATTTATGAATATTGTTAACAGTTCATTTAGAAATATTTAATTTTTTGTGACATTCTCTTAGAGTATGTAATGTAACTGGTTTTTTTTAAATTAACCAAATTTGTTATATTTGTTTTCTTTATTAATTTTGTTATTTGACATGAATAGTTTTAAAAAGATGATAAAATACAATATAAATGAATGATTGTAACTAGAAAAACTTAATTATACTTTATAGAAGTTTTACTCAAATGTACAAAAAATTAAAAATCGGCTCTTTTTTCAAAGTATTAACGCATTTTTTTCTAATAGTAGTTAATAACAATTTGATTACGGCTCAATATTTTGGTGAGTTTCCCTTATTATCGAGAAATCCAATTAAATAGGTTTGACTGTATTTTTATTTAATATTGTTTTTTTTGTTTAAAAAAAAGTTTTTATAATCTCATTCTAATCAAAAATTTAATAACAAAATATATATATAGGTAATATGATAATAGTATTATTGTATGAATTATGGAGCAGATCTTAAAATTAAATAAAATGTTCATTTTTAATATTATTTAGCTAAATGCCAGGAAAGTAACGGAATATACCTTCTCGTTCCACAATCCCCGATACAGTGCACAGGCATTTTTTTTCTAAGATTTAAAAATTGCTTTAATAATTCCATATTTTGAGACTGTTCTTCAATAACTTCATAGTTTATTTTAACCAATGGGTTAAACAACATTTTTAGTAAGATAAGAGTAGGGATACGATCAATAACCACGGTTCAGGGAATAAGAAAAATTACTAATGCTAAAAATGATAAAACATACCCTTTTTCCTCATCATATAATTGAGTATTTTACCCAAATAATTATAAAAGAGGAAAATCATGTTATTTATTTTTTACTCATAGCATCATGATTAAAAATTGCCATTAATAATTCCATATTTTGAGATGGTTCTTCAATAATTTCATAATTTATCTTAACTGAGAGGTTAATCCAAATATTTGATGGAAAGTAAAAGTAGGGGCTCGATTAAAGATTACGCTTCAGGGAATAATAAAATAAATATTACTAGTATAAAGTTGAAAATGATATAACTTATCTCCTATATTGAGGTCAAAAAATTTATAAAAGAGGAAAATACATGTTATTCTTTTTATTCATAGCATTTGGGCTGGATATTCCCTTATTCAAATTAGTGAAATTCAATCATGCGACCGATTTTGGTAGATAAATTAAGATTCTATTGGGATTTTTAACTTAATTTAAATGCAAACCAACCACTATTTTGGGAAAAAATTTGGTTTATTCTGGAAACAGCTCGGGATTCTCAGGTAACATTACCAGGTCTGGTTCTACTAGTTTCTTAGCTCCTTCTGCTAGTATATAAGGATTATAAGTACTCACTTCCACCAGTGTTTGTTTAAAGCTACTTTTAAAATTTAGCGCTACCGTATTTTTTCAAAAAAAAAATAGCGCGCTATCTACTTTAGAATTTTTAAAATATTTTTTACGTATCTTTATTTCCACATATAAAAATATGACTGATTATAAATATATATAATTTATTGCATTTCAATAATAACATTTTTATACAGTCACATTCTCAAGTCTAAGCGAGATCAGAAAAAAATAAGCTTTGTCATAATTAATCGTTCAGCACTAGCATTTTAGGGCAATGAGTATTAAATTTAATATACAAGTTTTTATATAAGAAAAATCATAAAAAATATTCATTTGAGTATTTTTAGATTTAAAAAATGCCTATAGAGTTTAAAAAAATATCAGTAAGTAACGTTTTTGTGACTAGGGTATCCTAGTCTGATATAACATTATTTAACGTTAATATTAGTCTATAAAGTTGCCCTTTAGATTTAGTCAAATTAATATATTTCCAATTCCACTTAACTGGAGTGAACAATAGCAGTTATTTTTAACATCCAGATAATAATTTATAAAATATTAAATATATGGTCTGATGATAAAATGAGATGTTAATATTCATTATTGTGATTTTTAATTTATAATACAATTCTTAAATAATATCTACAGAAAATGAACTTTCACGTAAACTCATTTAACTTAAAAACTATTATAGATAAAGTCTTGATTCAAATTTTATTTTTAAGATCAAGGATTTGGTTACACATTGTATTAAATTTATTTGGTATATTACCTCTAAATGTTTTCTCAAGTTGAAGCTACTACTAGTCTTGTTAGATAATAAAACTTCTGGCTCATCTTAAAACAAAATTTATAACCTGTGTTAATTTTATCGTTAATTAAAATATTTTGTAAATTTAGGAAAAGGAAATTTCATATTGTCATCATTTTCCAGGGAAATTACTTGGTCGATATGATCTGTATCAAGATTATTTTCAATATCAAACTCTATTGTCGGCATTTATTTTGAAAATTAAATTTATAATGTATATTTATAAATAAAAATTTCAAAGTAAAATAAAAGAATTATGATATAATTTTTATGTGTATTAAATGTATTCTAAATCAGTAGCGAGCTACCTATATAGCTATTTTTTTAAATGTAGCGCGTTAAAGCTACCGTTACTGAAAAAGTAACCCACTACTTTAACAACACTGCCTTCCACCTTATCTCGGAGTCAATGTTTGCTCTAGGCTTCGAATCCAAATATCGGCTTGAGTTAATATTTTGAACTAGTTGAAATGCTTGATGCCCATATTTCTCTTCTGTCCTCTATGAGCACCGAATCGGCAGGTATTCTGCCACTGATATGATACTTTCAAATTATCACAGTTTCTTGCTAGTATTGGCTGACCATGAAGCGGTTATTCTCGCGTTTCATAGTGCTGATAATCAAATTAATGATCAATTATTTTTAAAAATAAACAATTTAATCAATCCTTTGCGTATAATTTAAATATAAATTTTTAAACATAACATTTACTGTAATCTTTGTTATATTTGAAACATGTAATTGTTAAATTTTATTTAAAATATTTTTATATAAGGAGAAATAAATTTATATGATAAGTTATTATAAAAAAATTATTTAAATTAGTTTATGTTTGAAGAATAATTTCTAATTATAATTTGCTTTTTTTTATTAAATATCGATATTTTGATACTAAAGAAATTTGTAAATATAATGTATTAAAAAAAGTATTAAGTTTCGATATAGGTTTTATTTAGTCAATCCAATATAGTCTAACAATAGATTATTCATAAATTTCGCTAAAAAACAGATGGATAATTAAATTAATAAATTTTTCTCGAAGGTTTATTTTTTCCTGGACATATAAAATATTTTTTATTACATTATAAAACTTGATATAAATCAAATTAATCGTGATATAATCAAAAAATAGATTTATTTAATAAAAAAATTTCGTGATTTTTAAAAACCCTAGTGTTCCAGAATGGATATTTCAATCACGAAGTAAGTTAAGATAATCATCTAATCCTATTCATTTACTTCTTGAACACTGGCATTCTATTTAACAAACTAAAGAAAACTTTTTGGTAAAATAAAATGGTTAAATTTTATCAAAATTAGAAGAGAAAAAAATGACAATGACCCAACTTGGTACTCTTATCAATATTTCTAATAATTATTATTTTTTGATCTTTATTTTTGAACTTAAATTTTTTATTCATCTCCCGATTCTCTTTCCAATATTTTGTTAATTCTCCCATCATTTATCATTGTCAAAAGTCGGTCGAAAAAAATGTTTTTTAGGTCGGGTCAAACAACTTAGCCATATATTTTTACGGATCAGGTCCGAAGTTAGTGTTTTGATTAGTAAGAAGTGGGGCTGGTTTACAATACTATTATATTAGTAATGGTTTCAAGCTATTATATTGATTTAAATCTATGTTTTGGGGGTGAGTTCCATTCAGATGAAAACATTTATGAACGCCTAACGATTTCCCTAACATCTATCGAGCTGAGTTATTTCATAGCATAATTTATAAGATATTTAATCTATTGTATCCTAAATATTTTCATGAAATTAATAAGTATTGAGAAGGGCTATAAATTTTTTTAGCGAAGGTAAATTAAAGGAAAATTAAAAAAATAACTATTCCTTTGCCAGAATTATTATTAGCTTAAAAGTTGATCTGAGAAAAAGAACAGAAAATAGAAGTCATCAAAAATACAATAAACATGATCAACTTACTGTTTAATGCATTATTGAATTGGAAATATATTTATTTTCTCTTTAATTTATTTTATCAAGTTTTTGCCAAAGTATACTAAATTTATAAATTTTTTTAAATAAGAA